ATAACATAACATAACATAACATAACATAACATAACATAACATAACATAACATAACATAACATAACATAACATAACATAACATAACATAATATAACATAACATAACATAACATAACATAACATAACATAACATAACATAACATAACATAACATAACATAACATAACATAACATTACATAACATAACATAACATAGTGTAATATAATATAATATAATATAGTATAACATACGGGATAGTGGTGCCTCTCCGCTAGGACTGCCTAGATCAGCATCATCTATGTCTCGACTTTCGCTGATACCTGCAAAAAACAGCATCACTACGCTATAATACTTGCACACACTATTGCATGATCTGTAGCCGTATCCACGTACATAGCGTCTGTCTTTATTATCAACAACGCCATTGCTCTGATCATTGACATGATCATCCGCATCAATTACATTAGTATCAATATAAGCATAATTATTATCATAAACATCATTGTCCGCAGCAGAAACCGCCGCAGCAGCACAATCATTACCATGTCTATCATCATAATAATCATCATCATCGTCGTCTTCGTCGTCGCCGTCGTCGTCGCCGTCGTCGTCATCGTAACCGTCATCGTCACCGTCACCATCATCTTCATCGTCATCATCATCATCACCATCATATGTATCGCCAACCACCTCTCGCTCGTTATTAGCGGTATCTCGTAACTAGAACTAACTACACCGATTCCTCCTATCGAATCGTCCCTGCTCCGCTAACAACCGTTATTGTAACACCGCTATCAGGCGCGATCGCGAAACCTTCTATATACAATATATAATATATACAATATATAATATGTAATACAATATATAATACAAACAACTCTTCCAGTAAACAACGCGACAGATGCTCTCCTCTCACCGAGTAGGATCAGTTCTCGCTCCGTCTTCCCGTCTTCCTGACCATCGTCCAACCATCGGCCGCACGGGAAGTGATATTCCTTCTGGAGGAAGCCTTGCTGGCTTACCACCACCCGATCGATGAAAACTCCCGAACCTGTGTGTGTGTGTGAAGCAAGGTAAGGGTTAGGGTTTGAAACAAGGTAAGCAATTCTCATGGCGGGGCGGCGGCGGCGTCGCGGCAGGAAAAGCGGTAAGGCTGTCAGGTACAGAGTCATGGACACATCATCACTTTCTCTCTCTCTCTCTCTCTCTCTCTCTCTCTCGTTATATATATATAACATATCCATGAAAGTTCACAGGCTAATAAAACCAATATAAACATACATAATATCAAAAGTTAATAATGTCCTTTAATGTTTGTCATTATTAACTTCTGATAATATCAAGAGTTAATAATACATGTTGATGTATTATTACTGTAGTACATGTATTATTACTGTAGTACATGTATTATTACTGTAGTACATGTATTATTACTGTAGTACATGTATTATTACTGTAATACATGTATGTATTATTATAGTACATGTATTATTACTGTATTACATGTATTATTAC